GGAAAATTACAATATAGTTCTGATCTGGCAAATGCCCACGCACCCTCTCACACAACCTGTTATGGCATATCTCTAATTTCAAGTCACTGCAGTGATGTTAAGCATTCCTCAATGAAAAACGTGCCAGCTTCACTATGAGAATTTCTCCCTTGACATTTCCTAAAGCCATACCTTTGTGCACAAAATCAAGTGCTTTGTGAAGTTCTATGTTTTCCGCATTTGGCAAAAACTGAAGGAAAAAGAGAGATGCCAAACATACCAAACTGTTGTCATCATGTGTTAAATATTAGGCATTGAAGGAGGAAGGTTACACACACTCACACAAACACGCACACATGGAGCTTATGCTAAATATTTACATTTTTGTTACATATATGGATAGGGAAAGTATCTCAGAGCTTGCAGCAAATAATATTGTAAAATTCCACACTTTGTTGAAAATACCCTGTTTGTTTACTCACATTCTGTTGTCCTTACACAATGAAAAATTAGAACATTTAAATCTCAGCAGAAGCTTTTTATTGTATTCTAAACATTTACCTACAGTCTTCCAAGGCAGAACATAAAAAGCCATCATCTGTTTCCATATTTTAATAATAAAAATAAATAACTTTGTGCAGCCACAACTGATATCTAACTGTCAGTTTAACAGGCTGATTCATATAGATTACAGCAGTGATTTCAATCTTAAAACTCAGCTAATACATTTTTAAAGGCATTCCTCCAACCATCAATCCTTCCTGCTTACCAATAACTCAAAAAGAAAAAAAATCCTATTCTCATTTAACTGCTCTTTTTTACTCATTATTAAATGCTGAAGACACTGTGAAAATAAGTATAAGACATGAAGATACTTCAGTACGTACCTGGGAAGCCCCCTTGTACCATTGCTGTATCAGTATGCAGTTCAAGGTATCTGCATTCCTGACAAACATTCAAATGCTGCGAGCAGCTCAAATCTTCATCACACAACACAGAGAAGGAGACTCAGAGCTTGTCTTTCTTCTGACGACCTTGGGCCTGACTGAAAGATTTCCCTCTTCTTAAGGGCAAGCAGTCAGTTCTCTTTCTATTGTGAGATGTGATCAATTACACTTAATTTCAAGCTTGCCAACAAGCAAACAGTTACATCTGTCAGCAAAACTGTTGGCACAACTATGCAGGGAAAAGCAAATCCCTGGTTTCCCACATCTGACCCACTGATGCTCTGTTGCTGCTGCTGCAGCTGTTGCTGCTGCACTGCTGGAGATCACAAATATTCCAATGGCATCCCTGTCCCAAAATACAGGTCAATTTAACCCAACACTGTTCCTTTCCTACTTGGCTAGCTAGCATGATTTTAAACTGCCCACTCTAATACAGATAAAGGGCTTCTAAAATCCCAGTCCCATGTATTTGTAAATGCATGTTTCTCATTCCAGTCATCAATGAATCCCTGTCAGTCCCGCAGAGTTGCTTAAGTATAATGTTTCTGTGTTCACCTTATCAGAAACACAGCAGAGGACCATGTTTATATTCCAGGAACAAAAAATAATAAACTGTCTTCACATTCAACCAATCTAAATGCTTATTATTGCCATGCATATTTAAATCATTTAATACATTTTATCTAAAATGCATAAAAGCTGAAATGTTTCACATTTCTTTTTATGGCAATTAAATAAAGTCATAGGCGCACATGGTAGGGATTTAACATCTGTGACTCTCCCCTATTCATGATTTGTTCTATCTAAAGAACATCCTCTGTGGCTCTTTTCTGATATACATGAACACGCACACATTGAGATACCATCTGCTCGCTGCATTAACAGGGAAAGAGCAAAAGCGTTCTTATCAGTTGAAGTTCTCTGAATAGTTCCTGGAGAAGGCTTTTTCACTGTTGCATTACTGCACCAACAGCTGCAAAATTCTGAGCCCATATGTTTTACACATATAACCAGAGAGATGGACAGACAGATGTAGTCACATGACAGGCTGCATGATGTGCATTTTCCTGCCTGAGGCAAGACATTTTGCTGCCTGAGGCAAAGGAAAAGAAGATGGCCCATCTTCATGTGATGTACAGAAGCTGGCTACAGTTCTTTCGATACTGGCAGAGGGGCAATGCCCTCCACTGTCCCCAGGGGCAGTAAGCTACCTTAGGTGGTGGAGAGCAAAGTGTGTGGCATACACATGACATCTTGCTGCCATTCCTTGTATTTGACAATCTGCCACCTGAACAGGAAGCCTCACCCTGCTTAATGGGCTCAAATCAACCTAAACGACTATATGAACATTTATTAAAACTTGCAATGCTAGCAGAGTCCTGCTATCCTTTAAAAAGTGAGACAACTAATTCAAATAAAGAATAAAAATATTTTTACATGGAATAGTGCATAATGTATAGACAGCTTGGTGTCCTTTGGACAAGTCCCATCAACTGAAAGGGATGATGGGGATTTGTATCCCAAAACATCTGGAGAGCACCAGGTTGCCTATTCCTGATGCATGGCATCAAAATTAAAATCTAAACAAAAGCCTACAATACTTGTGATCTGTTTGTGTTTTAAGAGCTTCTTATTACCATAATATAGCACTTAGAGAAGTGTCAAAAGAATGCATTTTTTCAGAAAGATCATCAAATTATTTTGTCTTTTTTCATATCAGGTTCAGTAACCTTTCTTAGTGGTTGTAGTGACATCTGTAATAGAAGCAGCATTGTTAGTTTCCTTCCTCTCAAGGTAGCAGCATGCATTCCTCTCTTCCTTTTTTATGACAGTCAAACTCCATTTCTATTTGCCTTTGAGTCCTACTTCACCTAGCAAACGTTCTGCAGAAAAATTCGCTCCACCAGATTCATGGGGCAGTCAATGCAAGTCAAGTGTCAATTAAGACATGTAGTCATTTGCCAGAGTTAATCAAAGATTAAGCAAATCTTTTACTGTGTCATACATAGAATAACATGGGGCAGTAAACTGCCTGTGTACCAGTAGGACTCACCATAGATCAATATGGAGCTAGCACTTGTTATGCCGACCTGAAATGATCAGAGGTCAGTGCAGTTTGCACAACTTCCTTTATGAAGCACAACTCCCCATTATGCAAGTGGTTAGTGCCTCTGACGCAACACTATCACCAGGAGGGCAGCTAGATGCTGCCTTAACTTTTATAGGTTTCTTCTGCAATGTCTAAGGTTATCCTCATGATCGAACATCCTTCAGTGGTTGCAAGAACAGCCAGAATGGATTTTCCCTCTTGTATGACTATGCCTGGGCATGGCTGTCATTCCTCAGCCAGCCTATTCCCTCTCCTTCCAAGCAGATCAGGACAAAAGGTTTTCTAGTTAAAGTCTCTATTATGTTAAAGTTGACTAGGTCAGCTGGCTTTGTAACACAAAATAAGTATATCACAGAAATCAGTAACAAAAGCCACAAGCAACATTGAAATGTTAACCAATTACGGGAATGCACCTTAAGTTTATTCCAAATTGCATACTTCTTTTCCTTCCCAACTAAAAAGAGCTGGCTCCATGTTTGAGGTGGATCATGCTGCTCTTGGTCTAGTGACTAGTTGCTGAGCATGTGGGTTGTTTCACAGTTGGGCTTTCCTTTAAACCTGATGCTGCTTAATCAGATTGAAGTTGCTAAACCTGCCCTCATCTCAGTTTGCCCCTCAAAATTCTACCACAAGTTAGAAACTGTTTGGTTCTTAAGGACTGCCTGTCTTATCTCTAAAGATCCTTATCCAAGGATCTCAGCACTTCAGCTGTGAATTCCAACTCAGCCTCTTTTTTGGGAGTAGTGGGCTCAATCCATACAATTACTGGTTAAAGGAAAAACAAAAGGGAAATTAGCTGGACAAACAACGAAGCCTCCTAATAATGACATGTTGAAACAAGCTGCATAGAATTCTTTTGTCTCTCTAAAGGCATCCAAGTGAAGCTGATCTGAACTGCTGATCTCTGCTGCTGTGTTTCTTGTCATGGCTCATCCACCATTTGTTGCAGCCTCACCTCACCTCACATAATAGCTACATGGTGCAGCACACTACTTATGTTACACCATCACCACCACTCCTCCTCTTCCCCACCCCTTGCACTTCTGGGTTGCACACCAGCACAGCAAAATGGAGAGATAGCAGTAACTATCATGCTACACAGAGGGATAAAAAACAGTGTGCTTGCAGAAGACGAAAGCCAGCCTACAGAGGCACCATTGTGTGTCCCACAAGAAGTGAAATTCCTTTGGCCATTTTCATCTGATATTTAACCCCCCCCCCCACTACTTCCAGTTCATCTGCTTCTCTCATGGCCACCCACCAATCTCTTCATTACATATTGTTAACTTTTGAGCCATTACAAAGTTTCCCATCTAGCCACCTTCTCTATCACCCTCTCTACTCTTTTTGGCTGTATGTTTATGCTTGTGCACAAGGTCAGCACTGACATTTGAAGTGAATGGAGTGGACGTACAAGCTATGGGAGCATTGAACAGTGCACTTTGTTGCTATTACCAAAGAATTCTGACCGTAATACAAACATGTCATTAATGTACTGCATTATGATAAAACCCAAATAAAGCAGCCATGAAACTGCAACAAGGAGTCAGAGCATTTGAATAATGCTGATTCTAAGATGAAAATATACTCAAGACATGGTTACTTTTCATAAAGGTGGACATTCCTCCACTAAGCAAGCACCAAATGCAGCAACAATACACACATGAGCTTCAGCTGTTGGGCAGTATAGAAATCATATAAATACATAAATAAATAAGCCTACTGCACACTAGGGAAAGAAAGCAGCAATATTTTAATGCATTGTATACTATTGGCTAGTTCCATTTTGATGAGTTCAGTGAAAAACAGTATTTTCCCCACACAATCCCCACACAATTCAGTCTTAGTGCTTTGGTAGACATTTAATTTGTACAAAACCACAACTTCAGTGGTGGCAGTATTGTAGATTATGAACAATCTTTAATGAAGATATTCAACAGATTTAGTAAGATGCTGTAGTTTACCCTCAGTATGCATGTCATCCTCCTCCTCTTCTTCCTCTTCAGAGTTTGCCTTTTTTAGTACTGTGTAAGGTGGTGGCAATTTCATAGGTGGTGGAGCTCCATTTTGCTTCTAAAAAGAAAAAAGGAAGATGATATCCTATTTATTATTCCCAAGACCACACTTATCCTTTCTACTCAAGGAATCAATGAGCTAAGCATGTTTTTGATTTAAATGCTTTGGTTTCTTTAAAAAAAAAACAAACAACCCATATGCAACATTTTTGAACCAACATACAAGAGCAGGAAATATATAATATTGATTTCATGTTAGGCTTCTGCAGTGAAGATTTTGGAGGGAATAGGTTCTTATTAATATAAATACCAAAGAGATAACAACATGGTACTTAACTGACAATATAAAGTATCTCAACTTTTTTTTTTACAAGGATGTTAATACTTTAAAAATGTATTATTTCTGAACAACTTTACTGACAAATACTTTCAGCATAAAATATCCATTGACATTAAAGGCTAGAGCATTGTATTTTGTTTTTAGCATAACATTGGTTATCTGTAACAAAACTTTCAATAAAATCCCATTACCTCACATAAGTAAAGACACTTTTGATAATGATGCATGTAGAAGTGCATATCAGACCTCAAGAACGCTGCCCAGGAATACTCCAGCACCAGACACATCCAAGCATCTGTTTCCCTGCCTCAGAGTAACTGAATCATTCTTCAGCTGCAGTTTTAGTAAATTATGTTCAATTGCAATCTCATGCAATAGCAAGATGCACTTTAGTAAATAAATGATGAGTGTCAGATGTCATGATAGCAATAGAAATGGCCACAAAAATATTTTTATGCAATACAGAGTTACTACCCAAGGGTCTACATATCATCTTTAGAGTTTTTTTTTCTCCAGTGCTTACAATGGAAACAATTTCTTGATGTATACTGTTACAACTTTGTTTCAACAATCCACAGTCATTGTGAATGCACATTACTCTAATATAAAGTAGAAGCTAAAAGCAAAATTGAACAAGGTAATAAATAGGTAGTAGCATTATCGGAAAATGATTTCCAGAAATATGAAGCTCACATGTGTACATAAAGCAAATTCAACCCAGGCAATGTGTGTGTGACACACACACACACCCATTCGAGTAAAAGCTTTATAACAACAACAAAATTACACCAAGACTTCACTATGTCTGACTGAATATTGAAGAGAAGTTTGGGAGATTAAAAGAATAGGTTATTTGGGGAAATGTCCAAATGACCAAAAGAGCTTAAAGAATAAATAATAATCCATCTATAAAAACCAAGCATTTTAAAAGTCTTGTGTTATATTTTGTTGATTACACTTATTCTACTTTTTTCTGTTATTAAACTTAAGTGGCTACATGGGATTCCCAGTGCCCTTAATTTCAACAAGGTGGCTACCTCATGCATTCCAGGACTTCAGAAGTTACCTTGCATAGTTCTAATTATTAGGTTCTGTTCCTTTGCTTTTAACTTTGACTATTATTCAAACACAATGTTAACAAGTGTGATGATGATTATTTTGATATTTTCTCAAGATGTGGTACTGTTTCTTTTTTAAAGAGGCTAAATCCATCTTCTTTGAAGCATGGATTCAAAAAGTTAGGAGTCTGAAGAAGAATTTAATTCCTTTTGGGCTCACTTTCTTCCTCAGCCAGCTTTGTGTATAGCTTAACTGGGTCAAAATTCAGATCAGATCAAAATCCATCCTCTGATCCTCATACAGACAGTCAATTTATTATGCATCCTGCTACACACCTTACTATTTTATGAGATAATAGACCTGAATGATTGATTATCTGTACCAGCTCTTTTCCTTACTTACATTACTTTATGGCTGCAAACTCTAAACTTTAAGGATTCTTCTTTGTTGTCCCACCCTTAAAATATCTTAAATCCATGAGTCTTAGGAAGGAACAACAGAGACGCAACTTTTAAAACTGCATTTCCTCCCAATATTGGCAGCCTGCCACTTCTTACAACCCTGCCCATACTATCATCAGTGACAGCCCATCTACCACTAACAAGTAGCACTTTGGAGCAACTATCATTTGTTTGCTGCCCTGTACAAAACACAAAACCCAAAAACTTGTCCAAATGTGTTAGTTATTATTACTATTTTTCTCAGTCTTTTGCAAATGCAAAAGTCTGCATGTAGGCAAATTTGAACACAGTTGCCCAGCTGTCAATGAAAAACAGTGATGAATAGAAAACCAGCAGTAAAAAGCATGCACGCAAAGTGAAAAGGGGGACAACATCCACCTTTGCCATATACATTCCTGCCCTGTTATTTTGTTTCCTACTGCAGTTAGCTGTTCGCTTTGACAACTGACACAGGCAGGCAAGACTTCTTACATCAGACAGCCCTATGTATGTTCTTGTACAGTTGCAAAATAATCTTTATTTATAATAAACAAACAAACAGATAAGACAATTGAACAATTTACTGGGGCCAATGTTTAAAAAAAGCCATGAAAACAACCCCAATGGAAATTTTTTAAGACTCTCAAAGCAACAACAGTAATGTGGCTGTTAACAAAAAAGGATAGCAATTGGAGTGCGGGAGGGGAAATAAGTCAGATTCTGCCATGAGTCCAGTGGGATAGCAGCTGGAGGACCAAAGAGAAGGGGGAGAACAAGCCACTGTGACCCTGATGGGTGTATTACTGGGTGTTCTGTGAACAACTCATACTGCATAGCTTACTCACAGGGTGGCTTAGCATAATGTGCAAACACAGCCACAAAGCAGGCAAGGGAGTGTTCTTCAAAGAAAAAGAGTTTTATGCCATGATAACCTCATGTACTACCTTGAGCATAGCAATGGAAGGGCATCATATGAAGCTAATAAAAAGGCTTTGGTATGATTATATAACTTTTTGTACACAACTGAAGGATCTCTCAAGACTATGAGCAAGAGTCTATCAGAACATTCATCAAGTTTATCCTTTGTTTTTTGTTTTATTGCGCAGAAAGCGGCACACTGGGATTTTGTCAGCAAGTACTTCAGTTGATTCCTAATTATATTTCATCTCCAGAAGTCATGTATTCTGCTAGCCTTTGATCAAATCCTATGTATGCGCATGCACTATTAGTAGCCTAAGTGATGAACAGGAATGCTTACTGCTAATAGTAATTACAAAACCTCCAACCCATTAGTAGAACAAGCACATTTTGATGTGTTATGAACAGCCAGGAATTCTACATAATTTAACAGTGCAACTTCTACCCACAGGCTCAGGCAAGATAATTTTAAACTGTATTTTGGAAACATGGGAAATTCTGTTTGAGTAGTATCTTCATAATGAAATTGCTTTTTAAACTGGCAGCTGAGGAATACCTCAATATGATAAGGATATAAGCAGGTTGCTTACCTGTAACTGATGTTCTTTGAGTGGCCATCTGTGCAGTCACACATATGGGTACTGCGCCTGCGTAGTGCCTTTGGCCGGAAGATTGACAGCTAACGGTTTTTGGCGGGAAGCTCCGCTCCCCTCCCCCATGGCCTATAAAGAGCGGAGCGTCCGCCATTTGTTCAGTCTTTGACGACCGAACGTGCGCCCCCTTGTGGAAAAATTCGCAGTATGAGATAGGAAAAAAGGGATCGGTACCAAGAAAAAATGGGAAACTTTCGGTATCGATGAATGAGTCCACTCACCGACACCGAGCAGGGCCGGCGGGTGGGTTGTGTGACTGCACAGATGGCCACTCGAAGAACACCAGTTACAGGTAAGCAACCTGCTTTTCTTCGTCGTGGCCTCTATGCATCACACATATGGGTAGATTAACAAGCTTACCATCAAAGGAGGAGGGAAGGTGTCCTCATTGTAGGACGGAGGAGAGTACAGCTTTACCGAAGAAGCAGTCCCTTCAAGTCCGAACATCGAGACGGTAGTGCCTGGCGAAGGTGCAAGGGTTCGCCCAAGTAGCAGCTCGGCAGACGTCATCGATCGGAACTCCGGATGCAAATGCAGAAGATGTAGCGACAGCTCTAGTGGAATGGCCTCGGGGAACTGTAGGCAGTTCGAGCTTAGCTAACTGATAGCACAAGGTAATAGTGTGGACTATCCACTTAGAGAGCCTTTGAGGAGTGACTGGGTCGCCCTGATCTCTAGCCGAATATTTAATGAACAGTTTATTGGATCACCGAATAGACTCCGTTCGCGATCGATAAAAGGCTAAACAACGCCGAACGTTGAGGGAGTGCAAAGATCTTTCCAAGGGATTCGACGGCAATGGAAAAAAGGCAGGCAGTACAATGTCTTGTCCTGTATGGAAAGGTGTAGAGACTTTGGGCAAGAAAGATGGGTCGAGACGTAAAATGACCTTTTCTCTGTGGAAGTTTAGATAAGGAGGGTCGATGCGGAGGGCACAAAGCTCACTGGCCCTCCGGGCTGACGTGACAGCTACAAGGAACGCCGTCTTCCATGAAACTAATCGGAGATCCACAGTCGCCAAAGGTTCAAAGGGGGCCTTCATAAGGGCCTGTAGAACTACAGAAAGGCTCCACGTGGGCATAACCAGTCTAATCGATGGATTAAGATTATACAGTCCTTTCAAAAATCTCTTGAGAATAGGATGAGAAAATAGGGGTGATCCATCGACTAAGCCACGGTAGTAGGCTATTGCGGCCATATACACTTTAATAGAAGAAGGCTTCAGTCCGGAGTGATGCAACTCCAGAAGGAACTGAAGAATTTGTTCAATTGATGAGACAAGTAGGGAGAATGAATGAGACTCGGCGAAGGTGGAAAACCGTTTCCATTTAGCCGTATATGACTTTCTTGTGGACGGCTTTAGAGCAGAGTCGATAATATGCTGAATCTCAGGGTGCAAGAGCGTTGGATTCGAATTCGACGGGGTCTGTCTCAAACCGGATGGTACGGAGAGACTGTGGCAATGAGAGGCACCCGCATGGTTGGATTCGAGAATTGGAACCGAAGCGGTCGAAGTGATCGTTGATACCGATGAATTAATAGAAGCTGTCGGATTCGAGGCTCTCGAATCCGTCGTCGGCCCCAATGGAAGGTCAATCATCGAATCCGCCACGCTGTCAGGTTCAATGAGAGCAAGTCCGGGTGACAA